GGAGCAGAAAACCTCATCTTTCTCCCACGGAACCACAGAACAGCTAGTAGTTTCGATCTGCTGACCTTGCAGCTCGCAGCCCGATTCATAACCACTACGCTACCAGAGCTCATATGCATCATGACCGTACCTCTACCATTCAGACTTAAAGAAATTGAACTTACATAACCCCAAACCCACTGCTGTGGAGTGGATACAACTCATAGCAACCTGACAGAACAGAGTAGAATTGTCTATTGTTTTACATATAGCTTTTTTTTAAAAAAAGTTTATTACAACAAAACATTCTTCCAGTTATACAACCATTCTCTCCTTCCTGTTCTGAGTTGTTTGTCCCCCATTCACAGAAATTCACTGCCTCCTAAGGTTCCTCTCTAATCTTTGAAGTTGCTATTCATAACTTTGATCTCATCTATTAAAAGAGCATAATGCTCAAGTTACTAGTTAAGCTAAAGAACATAATGTTCAAGTTACAATTTAAACTGAACAAGCAGAATGCTCAAGTTTACTAGGAAGCTAGTCAGTTTTAAGTAGACTTCATGGAAATTTTTGGTTTAAAGTTTGAAGATTAACTCAGGGTTGTAGTTTCTGGGGTTAATCCAATCTCCTGGGCTTCAGAAAGTCTGCAGCCCATGAGCCTATGAAATTCTGTTGTGCCTTTTCTCCATTTTGACCAGGATTCTTCTATGGAATCTTTGATCAAAATGTTCAGTAATGGTAATCAGGCATCATCTACCCTACAGGCTACAGGCTTTACCGCAGCAGATTGCCAGGTCTCTTTCCTCCTTTGCAGTAGCATCCTAGTGCTTAACCATTACACCAGTGCGGCTGTTGGCTCATTCTTAGTTCTACACTAGATGCCTCTTGTGTAACCCCTCAACCCAAGCACATAGCTCTGCTGGAAGCGGGCAGTTCATCAAAATATATCATCAATTAATTGATTTAGATTATAGAAGCATTTCAATTTCTCCCACAGTGATTAAGCAAACAATTTGTGTTTAGTAGTGCTTTTAATTAAAATTAACATCTTCTAGGAGGTTGCTGGGAGTCCTGGTGTAACGCACTAGAAAACAAGGTTGGTTTGAGCCGCAAAGGTCAGCAGTTCAAACTCACCAGCTGCTCCTCGGATCCTATACAGGTTAGCTGTGAGTCGGAACTGACTCGAAGACACTTAACAACAGCAACAGGAAGAGGTAGCTCAGCTCTCAACTAAAAACCCAACAAGATTGTGTGAGAGACTGTTGGGGGCCGGAAGGCTTACAGGCTTCATAAAGCTTGGAGTTTGAATACAGCCAGACAAAGTCTGCTTATAATATCCAAACAAAGCCTGCTTATTCAACACAGGAAAAGTAACTTTCCCTGTTCTCATGACTCACAGCAGAAGTTACTCTTGCAGGGAAAAGCAGTTTTCTCAAGGTTGCCTG